GGAATATAATTACAAAGGATGGAGAAGAACTCCACCACACTGCAGGAGAATGAACCCTCAGAGAAGCAGAGAGATGACCAATGAGCCCGCCCACCCACTAGTAACCAACAGTAGGAAATTTCTGAGGGAGACACGGTTAATGGCAACACCCTTGACTAATATGTCAGAGAAGGAGAAATGGGAGAAATGGAGGGAGTTGAAGGGAAGAAACAGTGGAAGAGGAAGGTTTGGTAGCACCCTGCCAACTCAGCCCAGATGAAAAGTGTGAGAGGAACTGAGAGATTAGCATTTGGCTGGCAGCGCAGAGTTCTCCGGGTCCTGGGGGCTGCCTTCAAGCCTGTTAATGGTGAATGTTTCTCATGCTCTTTTTTGCTAAATGTGACAAACCCATTCTCCTCCCTCCTCAAAGTCCTCAAACTGAGTTATTCACTTAGTTAAATCTATCGTGACTTAAGAAGTATATGATTAGCATGGAAAGGGGGTTACATTTGTTCCTGTAGTCACGTAATTACTGAAGACATGAAGGAAGATTCCAGCAACTCAGGCCCCTTGCGAACAGGTCAAATACCTGGTTTTTACAAGCAACTAGCTTCAGTTTTCTGAGAAGCTCTGAGGAAACTACAAGTCTATTCTTGAGCATGTTTATAATAGAAAAGGAAAGATAATGCGGTTATTTGCTAATTGCTGCAATGATTAAAGCAAGGTTTCTCAAGTTCATCCTTTCATGAGACCGGCGGCCTTTTGAACACAAACAGGATCTGACAGAGATAGTAATAACGAAAGTCTGAGAACAAGGAAGCAACGCCAGTTTTGTTCGGTTGCCGCTGACATTGAATCTACGTACAGTTTAAAGACCCTTTGGTTGGGACTATCTTCTGGTGTTTCCGTGCTATACTGTGATTAAGCAAAACTTCAGCAAAAAAAGAAAATGTTGCATTATAGTAGTTTTGAAAGTTATATAGGTGGATTTTTAAAATATATACAGCCTAAATTTTCTTAGCAAAAGTCAACTGAGTAACACACAGTTTGGAAACATTTGGATAAGAGAAAACAAATATCTGATAAAAGTACTTGAAATTTGAAAGGATAAAAAAGATGGGAGCAGAGTGAGAAAAAGCCCCTGACAGGTAATGGTGGAAACATGACAAAGAGAAGTTCATTCTAATGACAGAGGCAGCCTGCTCTCATGGAGAGAGACTTTGGGCTTTGAAATCGGACCTTCCTGGATGTGAATTCCAAGTGTGCAGACTGCTAGACACGATACTCTTGGGAAAGGCGCACTAAGGTTCTGAGCTTCCGTTTCTTAGCACATTAAGAGGCATACGGGAAATAGAGGTTGGCTACTTCTCTCTCCACTCCATGTTGCCACCCTCCCACTGATTCCCCACCCTCCTTCTTCCCCGGGACCATGCTGAGCACAAGGCTTGTCCCTAAGGCAGCTGGAAAAGGAAAGGTTGACTTGGAGGTAGAAGCCCTGGACTGGAGTCCCCACCTTAGGCTGAGTGATCCTCCGCAAGCGATTCAATTTCTTAGTTTCTCACCTGCAAAATTCCTCCCACAGGACAACAAGGAAGTTAAATGAGATGATTTTTTTTGTGAAAGTATTGTAGAAAGTACTTCTGTCTTCTATCTTACGAATCAACAGGGAACCAGCATTCTTAAAATGACCAAAATGATTCCTAATTTCCTTCCTAAGGAGCTGATTCCCCTTTCCCTTTTCATGCAGTTCTTCTTTTTCTAAAAAAAAAAAAAATTACTTTATAAAGCAAGCCTGGATTCCAGAGCTGGAGTCTATCCTTTAGAAACTTTCAAGCATTTTTTTTTAACTTATAGAAGGCATTATACCCGATAGCCACTCAAACTTTCATAAACAAGAGTTGCAATGTGAAAAAACTCACCTGTTGCGTTTGCCTCTATGAGCAACTATTGATTTCAATACAAACTGAATCAGAAATTGTCCTTGTATTTGTTTTATTTCTGGAGTTTCTTCTTTCTTTTCTGTTAAAAATACCTAGAAGCATTAAAAAAGTAACTATCTCCTATGTTTTATAAGGAGAAAAAGGTGATAAAGAAAAGGAAAATGAACTTGGCACGCAAGTGAGTCTTGCTCTGGAATTTGGGTGGGTCTAGGAAAAAGCACAGACCTCAGTGGAAAACATATATGGGTGTGTGGGAAATCCCTGTAAACTATAAACTGACTACACAGTGCTTGAGCTGGTGTGGAGAGAAACCACAGTGCTGTCTGAAACCAGGGAGGAGGGGACAGGGAGTAAGTTTTGCACCAAAACAGTACAAAGTGTCCCTGGGAGTCAGGACTGCTGGTAATTCTCAGCAGGCTTAACTGGATCTATTGAAAGTGGCCATGGTAAAGCCCCACTGTTGCACCCTGGGACTCTCTGTGGGATGACCCTAACTGTATCATCCAGGAACCCCATGGCCTGACTCTGCTTCACCCACACTTCTTCCCAGCACTCCCCAACAAGGTTCCTCTTCAATTGCTCCTGTATGCTTCCCCACTTCATTGCTATTGCCTGTGCATTTCCATTTCCTAGAAAGCATTCTTTCCCTTTTCTATCGGAATCTCATTGTCTACCCTCAAAGCCCTTTAAGGCCTGTCGAGACTCAGCTTTCCCTTCCCCATGGGGCCTAGCCTCTTCTACCCTTTCTAAATGTTTTCTTTTCCAGGCTGAACAAAACCTAGCATGTCTCTGTGCTGCTAAGGACTAATCAGATGCTGTGTCCTGATTCATTTGGTGTTGGTGCCTCCTACATCTCCAATCAGATTAGCCCCTGGAGGGCTGAGAGCACGCTGGACTCAGCTGAGCTAGAATCAGCTCACCTTTGCACCTGAGCTGAGTGCCTGCAGCTCCGCATTTGTGATCCTAGCCTAATGCAGCATGAACTTTATTATCTCTCTTTTTACAAATGACGAAACTGAAGATCAGGGAGACAGTGTCCTTTGTCCGAAGTCACCAGCCCAGTTACCTTTCAGAAGGCATCTCACTCCATCTTCAGGATGACCCCAGTAGGTAGATTTTCAGGCTTTAACTCTTCCTGTAGGTTATAACCTGAGATCTGAGATTCGAACCCAAGTCCGTCTGGCTCCTAACCTGTACCTTTCCCACTATATCATATTGCCCCCATCACCAAAATGCTGAACATGAATTTGAACGTGGAATCATATCAAATGAACTTATGGTCATCCCATTTTGTCAAAACTAAGAGAACACGACAAAAATCGGCAAATTTTACCAGAGCAGTGTGTTTATGGCAAGACCAAGGCAAAACTTTATTCCTCATTCTTTGCTGTATAGTAATAGGCTGAAAAGGCCCATATGCGTATTCATATTTAAGGAAGTGTGTAACTGTTTTACCTTGGTCAATGTAAAATTCCCTGTATGTTGCATGCATCATCAGGATGCAGCAGGTATGTGTACAGCCTCATGTCTCCAACAGCCAAAGGCATTTCTGAGTGGCCACATCACTCTGACCTGGGGAAGCCGAGTCCGTCTAGACATTGGGAAGCCCAGGCCAGCAGTGTTTCTGCTAAATGGACCTTTCCAAATCCTCTCTGAAACAAAACCAGATTGGGCATCTTCAAGAAAAGATCCTCTTGTAAAGTTGGTGTAGCTGCTTAGAGTATAGTCAGTCTCTCTGTGCTTTTCTTTAAATTTTCCTTCACAGAAAGCTAAAACTTAAAGAGGTTTCAGAGAAATGAGTCTGACCCCATCTCCCAGTATCATTGAAGAAACTGAGGCTTGGAGGGGCTGGGTCACTTGCTTGAGGTTTTGTAGCTCCTAGGAGAGCTTTTTCTCCAAATTTGGCCTAGAAGTCCTCACCAGGCCTCCTCCTATCTTAGGTGGAAACTAAACAGGAAAAGATGAAGCCGAACTCAGGAAGAAGCAACATAATTAAACTAGTTTCTCATTTGGCCACAGGGTCAGAGGAGTGAGTAGAAAGAAACTGAAAATCAGTTAAACACTTGCAGTTTTAAAAAGGCATGCGATTTCTGCTTTTCCTAAGCTGTTGAAATGTGTTTATAGGTCCTTCCTGGAGCTTTCTCATTGCTAATGTGCTCCTATAAAAAGAATTCCTGGAGACTGAGCTGGGTGGTATTTGAGTATACAGCTAGTGCTCGACTTACGACCACGGTCGGGACTGCAGACCGATCATAACAAGATTCGGTCGTAAGTTGAGTAGGCTATATGTACAGGTGAAATGGTGCACTCGGAGATGGTAGTGCTGCCGGAAGCTGGTCCGCACTGTCGTACGCCCAACCGGTCAACGTTTGCACTGCCAGGTGCGGAGCAGTCGTGGCTAGCGATTGTGGTCGTAAAGTCGAATGGTCGTAAGTTGCATAGGTCGTAAATCGATCAATACCTGTACTTCTCAATGGAAAGCAATGAGCTTGTGTGCTACACTGCTTAGGCCACATGGTCCCCCAGACCTGGGCTGCCAGATTGTGGCCATTATTGTTCCATGCAGATCATGCCCATCCTGTGCAGAAGGCCACTCTAGGAACACATTTGCACAGGGAAGAAAACGCCTTTAGAAATTCATATGGTGCTTGTCTAAACTGAAGGCACCAGAAGCTGCTAGCGTGCTCCCATTTGTTTCTAATAATTTCTCCACCCTAAGAGGCTGCTTTAAAAACAAGCAGTAAAAACCTGCGACCCAGCACCACAATTGAGAAAGAACGCATGGGACTGACATTTTTAAGAATTACTGGCCAGGTGCGATGGCTCATGCCTATAATCCCAGCACTTTGGAAGGCTGAGGCGGGTGGATCACCTGAGATCAACAGTTGGAGACCAGCGTGGCTGACATGGTGAAACCCCGTTTCTATTAAAAATACAAACAACAACAAAAAAAGGCCAGGTGTGTTGGCAGGTGCCTGTAATTCCAGCTACTCAGGAGGCTTAGGCAGGAGAATCACTTGAATCCAGGAGACAGAGGTTGCGGTGAGCCAAGATTGCACCACTGCACTCCGGCTTGGGCAACAAGAGCAAAACCCCGTCTCAAAATTTAAAAAAAAAAAAAAAAAAGAATTACTAAAGTGTGAGACTTGCCCAGATTATTTTTCCAAGGATCCAGAGCCCTTTAGAGAGAATTCAAGAGGGAGAATTTCTGGTGACTTCTACCACCTCTGAAGAATTAAAAAACACACTTATGCTGCTTTCCAGGCCTCTGTGGTAGTTAGTTCTGCTTGGCAGTTTTTGTTGTTAAATTGCTTTTAAAAAACCTGGAGCTCTATTAGATATAAATACCTTGTGATGCCAAAGGACTGTCTTTCACCCATAAAAACTGAAGCCATGTGCCAGAAGCCCTCGTGGCCAAAGGGCTCTGTCCTTGGACACGGATGAGGGCTACTGGGCGGTGGGACTGAGGCTGTGCCTGGATGCCCAGCTTCTGCAGCCAGAGGTGGAGAGTTGCTCCTGCCTGCTGGCTCAGCCAGCACAGGAGCACGTAGCCTGCAGGCTTGGGTTGCACACAGGCTTCCCCCTGCAGAGTCAGGCCCCTTCAGCGCTTCCCCAGATCTCTGGAATCTTCAGCTGAGATTGGGCTCCAGCACCTGGACTCAAGGTAAGGCCCCTTCGGGTGCTTCTAGCTGATCAATCAGGGTAGTGCAAAGGAAGAAAATGTTGAGATTTCTGGAAGATTCAATCAGAGTGATTCACCTTAACCTCAGGCATGATTTTCCCCCATTATCCACTCTTTTAGATTTCAATTTGTATAAATCTTACTGATCTGAAGAAGACTTCTGCTTCTGAAACTACCCGTGCTTAACAATGATTGTGCCCTACTCTATGAGACTGCAAATAAAAATATATTAACCTTGGCAGAAAATCAGCTGATTAATACTTATACCTGACACTGTAAAGACTGGAACCTCAATTTATCTGCATAAACAGAGGCTTTGGGTATAAAACTAAAATGTAGTCGGTTATGCCAAAGACTGCTTTCAATAGGAAGGCACCAAACATACTTTTAAAAATAATAAAATAGTCATTTAAATTAAACATACAAATAAATAACTTTCAGAGCTAGTACTGAGTTTTAAGCCTTAAAGACCTTGATTTCAGTGACAAGGTATATAACAAATGCAGCTGTTAGAAAAAGGACACATACTGAGGTTTGTTTCTTTCAAGATTATACATAGTATTATTTAAAAGTCTTATTGTATATGAAAAGTAACACGATTTTTACAATATGAAACAATAGCAGCTAGCCGATAGCCTGCTTACCTTTACAAATTGTCTAGTTGGTCACATTTTACCTTAATTTTTCAGGATCTAACCAAGGCCTGGTCAACTCTTACTGGCAATTTTTGAAAAGGATGAAAGAGGTCCTACGTAGAGTCCTCTAAATTAATCTTAGTGCAGGAAGACAAGTCATATTTGCATAACTTTATTTTGTATCCCTAGCTACTGTCATCCTAGTATTTGAAAAGCTCCTTTTCTCCCAATGTTCACAAAATCATTTTCCAAACTTGCAAATATTAAAACCTATTCATGTCTAATACTTTCCTGCTTGGTCTATTTCCATGTTCTGTCAATGACCTATCAATTACCCTATTTAATTACCCATGTCACTTGAAATTTCTCCCACCAGAATTTTAGGTTGCATATTTTCACAGGGCAATTTATTTTAAAATCAGAATGGTCCATAAAACTAACAGCTCTGTGTGCACAGACCTAAAAGATTTGTACATCTGCATTTTTGAACATCAATAGTTAAACAGTCAACGTAAATGTTAAAGAAGTAAATTAACTTTCAGAATTTCACATGTGCTCTACCATTCACCATTGACCATGCTGGAAGAGGACTTTGAGGTCATTTCGTCCAACCCTCTCATTTTACAGATGAGGAAAACAGGACTAATTGATAGCTAGCGATACTAAATTATAACTCTTCTAAAACTAGATAGCAGAGTGAGTAGTCTTCTTAATGTGCTCAATTACTGTATGAATTCCACGAGCTGATGAGCGTGCTGTGACCTTGAGCATTTACATTCTGTGGTTTTCAAATGTTTATGTTTCTAATGTGGTATTTGTAAACCCCGGGCCCCAATAACCTTTACCACGGAGGCTTTGCCAATCCCAACTCTGGGCAGCCCACCTCTTCCCTTCTCAGCCTGTGCTTCCAGCTGTTCTGCATGGGCAAAGTCACGTTAGGGGTAAGCAAAGACTTGAACTAGTGTTCATGTTTAAAAAACTCACAGGGACCTGCCTGCTGGCTGAATCCTTTCTTCATTTCTTGTTGCCTCTCCTACATGTGACTCAAAAGCTAGCCAAGTTGGTTACACATCCTTCAGCTTATTCCTGTTACACCTAAGTGTCATACCTTCATTCCCTTTACTAAGATCACACTTCTCCAATTTCTATTCTCCTCTACTCCTCAATAAATAGGAAAATGCTGTCTGTAGAAATGCACATGGAAGAGCTGGGCATGGTGGCTCATGCCTGTAATCCCAGCACTTTGGGAGGCTGAGGCAGGTGAATCACCTGAGGTTGGGAGTTCGAGACCAGCCTGACCAATAGAGAAACTCTGTCTCTACTAAAAATACAAAAATTAGCCGGGCGTGGTGGCACATACCTGTAATCCCAGCTACTTGGGAGGCTGAGGCAGGAGAATCACTTGAATCTTGGAGGCAGGGGTTATGGTGGGCCGAGATGGCGCCATTGCAGTCCAGCCTGGGCAACAAGAGTGAATCACACTCCATCTCAAAAACAAAAACAAAAACAAATCCACGTGGAACTCATGCACACATTTTCTATAACTTGTCTTTCTTCCACTTCCCCACAACTAGAATATAAGCTTCATGGGAGAAAATGCCTTGTCTGCACTATTATATCCCTTGTGTCTAGTAGAGTCAAAGATAGGTAGGTGATGGGTAAATACATGTGCAATAAATATATCCTTTCATCTTTCCTTCCTGTCTTAGGGAAGCCGATGTCCCCTTCCCTTTCTGTCTTGCCCCCCCGATAACATCAGTGCTTCTTTGTCCCTCTTCCAATATTTAACCTCTGAATCACATCCCCTTTCTTGAAATCTTGCCATCTTAATTGTCTTCTTTTATGAATTTATATAGGTATCCAGCCATCTGGCTGCCCTTTCTCCAGCTCTTTTGCTAGATAATCCTGCCCTCTTCCATACAGGCAATCTCTAAGATTGCCCCTTTGGTTGCTTTCTTCTCTTGGTATTTTTCTTTTTTTGCAGTTCTCATTGACTCCTATCTGGTCAACTTTTACTTCTAGGTACTATCATTATTTAATCACCACCTCCATCCCAAATTTAATTCCTAGAGATGGACATGCTTGGAGCCAACCTCACCATGTCACCTTCAATACCCTCTGCTTTTCATCCGAATCTTCTTTTCCATCCAGGCAGCAAACTCCAGAGGCCTTTCCACTCCTGTTCAACCCTCGCTACTTCACACTTAATAGGCGTGTGAATTTTACCTGGTGGCAAACCAATGTGAGTTCATGTATTACTTAGACAAATTCAACAGCCTCCTAAATGATCTCCTTATAGCTACTCTCCTCCCTCTCTGTCTTGCTAGATGAGCCTGGCTTCTTTTTTCCTGCTGAAAGATTAAATATTTCAGTTTAAAATTCATTGCCAGCATAGTTCCCAACATAGCCTCATACTAATTTCTACTCGGGAGGCTGAGGGATAAGAATTGCTTGAACCCGGGAGGCGGCAGTTGCAGCAAGCCAAAATCATGTCACTGCACTCCAGCCTGGGCAACAGAGCAAAACTCTATCTCAAAAGACAAACAAACAAAAATAAACAAAAACAAATGGGGAACGTTTTTAAAAAGAGCAGAGGCTCCTTTTTTAAAAAAGCAAATCTCAGGCTTTTACTCATATCCCCACCCCCACCAAAATATTTTGATTTGATTGTCCTGTGTCAGAGCCAAGGCATTAGTTTATTTTAAAATCCCCTGGGTGAGTTTCATAGGCAGCCACAGTTGAAAATTGCTGATAATTGATAAACCCTATGGTCCAATCAGTTGGGAATGCTTGAAACATATATTGCCCCCCTACAGTTTTGCCTGGGTAATTCCCCTTGCCTGCAACCTTCTTTCTCCTATTTTTTTCCTACAGAAAACACATGATAATTTCTTTGATTCTTCCAGTTAGAAGGAATCAGTCCTCCTCCTGGAAATCCTTAATACTACTTAATATATCACATTCATTCATGTGATCCAGGCAGACCCTGTGTTAGATATGGACAATATGGAGAGAAAGAAGACAAGGTCCTTGTCTTTAGGCAGCTGACAGTCTTGCCAGCTCACTGGCTACACATGAACCAGTGAGTATCAACTTTTATGATAGAAGTGTCCATGGGATACTGTTTTGGCATGAAGGAGTCTATTCTGCTTGGTATAATAACAATTTGTGTGTGTGTCATCTCTTCTATCAAATGGCAAACTTTTGAGGGCTGAGATCATGCATGTCTCACCTTCAGGTATTTCAAAGACCACAATAGAATAAAATGTTTGCTGAATAAATGAGTGAATGAATGATGTTTTGGTAATTAGAAGTCACTGGGGAATAACAGCAGCTCTTAGGAAATAGTACGATAGTTCCATGCTTGGGGTAGGGATGGAGGTGTCCCACTGGAATTCATAGACCTATGTATAATTTTCAGTACTAAATTATGTGTGTTTTACAATATCTCTCAATCACGCATTCTGTGGTTTACTTAAAACGGTAATAGGAATATCATGCTAGAAACTAGGTCTTGTACTCATGAACAAAAAAAAGGAAACAGCAGACATTGGGGTCTGCCTGAGGGTGGAGGGTGGAAGGAGGGAGGAGCAGAAAAGAGAACTACTGGGCACCGGGCTTAATACCTGGGTGATGAAATAACACGTACAGCAAACCCCTGTGACACAGGTTTAACTATGTAGCAAACCTTCATACCCCTTTTTAGGTACCCCCGAACCTAAAATAAAAGTTTAAAAAATTAGATTTTAGAATATATTCAAAGAGTAGGATATTACTTTTCAACTAAAAAAAAATCTGAATTCGTATTTTTAAAATATTTTTTAAAACTTTACGTTTGATCAAGCCTTTACATTCTAGAACAAAAGCAAAAGCAAAAGCGATATGCATTCTAGATTTATCAACTTTGCATACATGTTTTAGGAAGATTTTGAGAGATTTTAAAATAATATCTAAAAATGACCATTTAATTTTAGTAAAAAGAGACTCCCAGTTTCTTGCCAACTACTCTGGTCTGAGAGTGTTTAGATTAAAAAAAAATGTGTGTGAAATTATCAAAGGAAAATCAATAAATCAATAGTAGCACCAAAAAAGAAAAACAAAAAGAAATTAGTTCTGTTTCTCATGACTAGGAAGTCAACAGTGGTCTTTCCAATTAAGACTTGGCACCTTTGATTTTTGTGAGCATATCCTAGAGATCAAGCATGAGTGTTTGATGACTGATGGGGAGAATTGAGGGGGATTAGGAGAGACACTTGATCTTGCCATGATTCTCAAGTTAAATCCTTAGGCCTCTTAAAGATGTTGTTGATAAAGCTGCTAAAATGGTCACCAGATACATACAAACAA